CACAAAGCGCGCGAACGTGACATCCTTACCCTTAGAAATCATGTACCGCGGTCATACATGACATGATTACCCGTGACCTTGAGTGACCTTGACGTGATTATTGTATAATCTGCAGCTAGATGACGTCCCACTGGTCCCAGGCACTGATTTCGAAAATTCACTGTACTCTTTCGGCCAATCAGAAAAGAAATGGTGGGTTGAACGTATGATAATTTCAAATAAACAATTACTGGATGAGGTTTTTGTGATAAGTGTTATCAGCCATGACGTAGGGCTACATGACGTCATTGGCGGACACCAAGCATATATTCATAGAGAGATTTATGGCGCATCGAATTTTGTATCTGGCTAAGACCAAGCGCGGTTCACGTGATTCACGCGTGCTTCGTGTGCGACGAGATTATAAACTCGCTTCGCGGCCTTTGAATTATACATTGTTTTGAAGAAAATAACGACAAACACACCGTCGCAAGGAACCTGAATTGATGTTGTTATTGGAAATCATCCATTGCGTGCGCAACCTACAGATAACTAATCTGTAGGTTGCGCTGATTTCCAAAAGAAGCTGTAGGTTCTTAGCCAATGAAAAGACTGATAGTGAGTACAAAGTATATACTTAATATTGCTCAACGGAAATCGTCCCATAAATATTTTGTTTTATTATCTCATTGAATAAAAAAATGATCACGTCAAATAAACTGAACAAGGACATTTTAAGTGTTCCAAATTATGGTCGGTCATTTGTTTCAAAATTATGACACGATATACGTGTGGTTTTCCCACGTATACTTGCAGTCATTCCTGCTACACGATATACGTGCTTTTTATTGCCACGTACTGACTTGCGTTCTTTCCTGCTTTGTGGGGTTTTTATTCCCAAGTATATGACCAGTTTCTTACAAACGCGCATATATATGCGCACAAAAAAGCCATATATATACGTTACAAACAAGCATGTGGTATATGGGGTCACAGAAAGTCGTCGTATAAGAGGCACCGAATTAATTGCCGTGCAATTAATTACTACGTCCTCTTCGCTTTCAGTTGCGACCTCGACGACCTCAGTTGCCATTGTCGCGCATTGAATCAAAGCAACGAGAACACGAGGCTGTACGGCTGTACGAGCTAACATCCGGCATGGAATTTCACGAAGTCGACGCATCATTGGCCAAAACGGTTAATCACATTAAGTATTAACTGGAAAAGGCCGTAATTGCAAACCACAGAGTTAAATTGTAAGCTGATATAATGAACCCTGATGCGTTGTAAAACAAAACACTTGGCTCGCGCTTGCAAAACAACCGGATGCCGACCGTTCTAAAGAGTGTTATCACCGCAGACACTATTTTTTTCACCGAAAACCGCGACTTAAAGGTTGTAATAACCGCAAACCGCTTAGTGTTTTGAAACCGCAATACCGCGAGTTAAAATAAAAATTACTGCAAAACCGCACCAAAAATAACGCAAAACCGCATCACCGCAAACCCTTACGCCCCCCTCCTTATTCATTGCCCTCACAGTAGTGGTGGTTGTTGGCTCCCCGACAACGGATTTGTTGGAATCCGTGGATTGTCTCTTGAGAGACTGTGTATGTTATTTCACAAATGCTGACCGAAACAACGATCGATTCAGTTAGAAACTAGCGTCCGACAGGCAAAACACGACTCATAAGCTCGTGATAATGTGAAACATGACCTTGAGACTGTTGAGAGTCTGCTTGAACAGATCGGTTTTCTTCTTTTCTCTCTCTCGTGCGAATTATCACCTTTTTGCCCCCACGAACACGTTCTAAGCCTCCTAGTCTCGAAGCTTTTTATTATTTCCCTTCATTCACTCTATAAATTCCATGATTGTTGTTGGTATTCTCACACTTTAATAGCCTTCACCTGCATCTCTTTCCTTAGTGCTCCTCCACTTTAGAGGTGATTTTCATGGTTATCTAACTCGTTCTCGTTCAACTTGCATAAAATGTCCCTCAGGTATCAATTTGCTATGTAGTTCGTCAAGTCCCGATTATTTGGCCAAGGATATCCTACTGATATACCCTTGACTGTCCGTAACAGCCTTACCACCACTGACATCAAATAGAAACTAAAACTTTACTTTTTAAGCCTGGATTGAATTAGCGCAGGATTATCATAGTTTATTGTTAGTTTATTTGTCACTAGTACTTCTAGTTTTACCTCTGCTACAGGACTGCTTGCGTTACTTAATTTAAGTTTTATATCTTGTTTTAGTTTTGAAATTTAGCCTTCAGTGGCTTCATTTCTACATGAAACTGAATTTCTGTCATTTTGACCACAGGTCGTATAAGCCCCCGGCATGGCTTTATTGAGTTGTGTACTACGGAACGATGGAATAATAAAGTTAAAGTTAAAGTTACTAGCACTACAGAGTATTACATGCATACTGAGTAATCATTTCCTGTGGTTTATGGTTCTTTAGGTGTTCCTGCTAGGAATTGACCTCAGATGCAGTTGTAAAGTGTTTCAATTTTCTTTGACCTCTGTTTAAGCCTAAAGCTTTAATTTATTATTACGGCTAAATAAAGATTTTAGTTTCTATGGTTTTCTCCGTAAATCCTGGATCTGCGGAATAACTACATGCATGCATGCACGTAAGTTTCTTTGTCCGGGAATGTGATCATTTCTTGCTATGCCAGGGGAGAGGGTACTCTCTATGATGGCCTATACGGGGAGGCTCCGCCCGAAATCCTGGAGAGGTACTTAACAAATATTTGTACGGGGAGGCGCTGCCCCGAGGTCCAACCCCTTACACGTCGAGAAAGCGTTCTACATCTGTGACTGATTCCTATTTTATGACAGTGCAGGTTTCCAGCAGTTAAAAGGGATACAAAGTTCTAAGCAAGATATGTGAAAGGAGTACCATTTGTCACTAGAAGGTATACGAAATCGTGAAAAATGGTCTATAAAAGGTTAAGGGATGGGCCTCCGCCGTAAAGGAATTTGTTGAGTACCCCCCCACCCCCGGCCTTCCCGGGCTGCTATGTCAGTATGACGCTGGGCCCAGCTCATAAGTGTTGTTTCAAGGATTTTGAGTTTTCACGGATAGTGACTGAGATCTTCGGGTTTGAGTTGTACACGGTAGCTTAAACTAAAGTTACCGGCCAGGTATAGAGAATTATGCTCTGCGTGAGTCAAGATCATTCTCTAACCGCTGATAGCCTGATGCAGTCCATATAATTTTTTTTGAGATCAGAAGTGAGTTTTTAAACAAAAGCGCGATGTCTTGTTGTTCCTTCGTACGAATTTACTGTTGTGTCTATGCAAATGTTATGAATTCTGCAAGAATGCAGTTCCTCATCGGTTGCTAATATGGTAGAGAGCGAAACTAGCCGCTATAATCAAAAATACTGATTTGCCATTGGCTGCAAAAAAACGCCAAACTGGAGTTATCAATAAACCATCCTTCTAAATAATCGGGGCTTGAGAACTAATAGCAAATTGATGCCTGAGGGGCTGCAAGTTGAACGAGAACGAGTTAGATAACCATGAAAATCACAATTACAGTGGAGGAGCACTAAGGTAAGAGACGCAGGTGGAAGGCTTTTAAAGTGTGAGAATACAAAACAAGAAACATGGAATTTATAGAGTGAATGGAGGGAAATAATAAAAAGCTTCGAGACTAGGAGGTTTAGAACGTGTTCGTGGAGGCGAAAAGGTGACAACTCGCACGAGAGAGAGAAAAGAAGAAAACTAACTGATCTGTTCGTTCCAGCAGACTCTCAAGGTCATGCTGGTCATGTTTCACATTATCACGAGCTTATGAGTCGTGTTTTGCCTGTCGGACGCTAATTTCTAACTGAATCGATCGTTGTTTCGGTCAGCATTTGTGAAATAGCGTACACAGTCTCTCAAGAGACAATCCACGGATTCCAACAAATCCGTTGTCGGGGAGCGAACAACCACCACTACTGTGAGGGCAATGAATAAGAACCAAATCTTGTACATGAAGGGGTTTTTTGCTGACGGTATAATTCGGTGCCTCTTATATATACGACCACTTTCTGTGACCCCGTGTACCACATGCTTGTTTGTAACGCATATGTGTGGGCATTTTTGTGCGCATATATATACGCGTTTGTAAGAAACTGGCCATATACTTGGGAATAAAAACCCCCGAAAGCAGGAAAGAACGCAAGTATACGTGGCAAAAAAACGCATGTATATAGCGTCATAATTTTGAAACAAATGGCCGACCATACCAAATTTACCTCCATGATTAATTTTCAATCAAGGCAATATCTTGGGCGTCAGAGCTTGAATCGTCACTGATCAGTATGGCTGGATCAGACACAACTTCAACTTGACAGGGAAAGATAAGATGGTGAGAGGGGTAGCGCGCCGGAGAAAGGGAGGCGATTAAATCGAGGGACGGCTACTCTGATTCGAGGAAATATGGTACCTAAATACCGAACAAGGACTCTAGTTATGATTTATATAATTTTTCTATAAGAAAAAGGAACAAATTGCTCCTTGTTTTGATATTTTAGTTTAAGTGCAGTTTATAATCAACCTCGGGCTTTTCCCTTAAAAAATGGGTGGGGCAGGAAAAGGCCCTGGCATCGGCTGGTGACGTGTCCCCTCGTACACCAAAAAATCCTGGGTGTAATAAATTAGCGCTACGTGAAAAGCTGAAATTATGCGTAATCTCACAGCGCGCGATCTTGGGCGGCCTCTTATATCTCTTGACGAGTAACGAATAGTTTTACAAGATTTCTTTTTTGTCACAGATACTGGCTATGGTAATTTTTTGCTTTCCTCCGATTTCTATGAAGGAGACAGCGAGCGGTAACATTTGTAAAACGTCCTTCATAGAGCGATATAAATGACAAACAAGCTATCGTACCTGCATAAAGTTTGTTCTGGCATGGAAAAGTCCGTTTTCGCGACTCTTTTGATATTTTATTTATTTCTTGCGAAGTGGACCGCCGTACACAACCTAGTTCTATTCACCTTGACTCTCAGCCATATCATAGCGACACGCGTTGGTTTAGACTTATCTAGTATGACCTGTATCTTTAAAAAATTCATTGACCTCTGCGAGACCTGACCGAAACCGGAAACCGCGCATGAAAAGTTTCCGGCACCCAGGGTATCAAACGACTAGTAACAAAGAAGGATTTGGGTCCATTTAATATTGACAGAGCTGTAGTTGATTCCAATCGATTGGTCAATCTTCCCTTTGATGTAAGGAAAATCCTTTGTACTTATCCTCGGAAGAGAAAAGATATAAGAGATCTTAAAATGTTTCAGATCGGCGACCTGTCATCGTTCCTCAGGGGCACCCAACGACAATTTTCGGAAAAATATCTGTTCGGAAGACGATTTGAGAGCTAGAATTTTCGGAACATTTGTTGTAAAATTTCTTGCTTGCCTGCTTCTCCTAGGATTTTCGAACATCTAAAATATGGTATAATTGCCTATTTTTAACGGATTTTTACTCTAAAAAGGTCACCTAGAATTTTCGGGAGCCTTTTTTCTGGCTGAAATTTTCGAAAAGGTAAGTTTTGATCCCTATAATTTTCGGATCACTAGACTTTCAGCTAGGAAATCCGAACAGATGAAACATTTTTAGAGGATAAAAATATGCCTACATCTACTATTTAAATACCAAAATACGTTTAACAATGCTATGTTTTAGTGGTTTTGAACTATATTCTCGTTGGGTGCCCCTTGTTCCTGGCTGGAGGGCTGACTTGCATCCGGCCCGGAGATTCGTTTGTTTCATGGTCGGGTTGTAGAGAAGACCAGACTCCATAAAGCATTTTGATGAACAATTCTATTTCAATTAAGCGGCTGTAGTATTGAAAGCAGAAATATACTAAATCTTCTCTTGGTTTTGGGGTAAACTCGAACCTAGTGCCCTACCTTGAAAAGGATATTGGGTTTAAAATGGGGTTGCTATTATTAAGGCAACGTAGGCAAAGTTGTGTAGGTGTCGTGTTTACCATATTATTGTCAAATATAAATTGGTGTGACAGTGGATGACTGTAGGATAATATATGAAACGGTGGCATTAGTTTGACGGCTAACTTGTGCTATCTCGGATTCTTATAGTAATATTGTAATTGCCAGAGGCTTCTCATGCGCGGTTTCCGGTTTCGGTCAGGTCTTAAATAGTGATCCGGGTTTTTTCTCGTTGCTTCGCCGCTCGTGTCTTCGGCCTTCGCCCGAAGACGTGTCGGCCTCCGGCCGACCAAGCTTCTCGTCGCACGCGAGAAAAAACCTCTGATACCCAGGATAACACTCGGCAAAACGCACAGTATGATTCAATAGTCCGTTGCTGGAACATGAACATATATTTTTTTATAGACTGAGGTTATAATCTTTCTTTTGATAGATTTAAGAATAACAAGAGCTTTCGTTAAAAACGGTTTCTTTAGAGCGCCTTTGCTTTCAAGTCGCCTTCTTGAGTTTGAGGCAGGCTTTGTATACATTTTCATGAAAGGCTTACTACAGTCCATTAATTTTTGAGGCATCGCAAAAAGTAGAAGGAAAGTAAAGAGGCAAATGTTTTGAAAACGCTTTAAGCTTCAAGAAACAAAGACAGCAAGTTAAGCTAATATCTTTCATTGCAGGGTAAATACATTACATTAAAGAGGAACTGTAATCGCCCTCCATCCACAACCAATAATTAACTAATAAAAGATTCGTAGTAGCTAACGATTCAAGGACGCATCGGTTGAGCACGTATTAATCCCCACGCCTGACAGCTCTGCAAAAAAGATGCAAAGTTTAATTTTCTCGTTAAATAAAAAATACAGTTTATGCTGCAAGACTTAACCCTCAGTGGTACATAAGAAGAGAAAAGGGCCGAGTGTTAGAAAATGATCTTTTTGTCAAAACATGTTCCTTGTTATTGATAGGGGAAGACCAGGAACGAGGTTGCCTTGGTTAAAACAAAAGAAGCAAGGCTGATTTTACAGTCGGAAATATGGGTCTTACCTTTAGTTTAACCTTTTATTACATGCGCTTGTTACGCGTATCGCAGTTATAGAGGTGGGTTGTTCACTTTGGTGTTGATTAAGTTAGTGTCTTGTTAAGCTTCCAATTTCGTTGTTTACGAGGGGAGGGGAGATTTTCCCAAATATTATACATTTGAAGATATATTGAACTGCCTGAAAAGAAATAACTGGACATAACAGGTTGGATTCTCCAAATGAAGTTAAACAATTACAGCAATTAACAAAGACCAAAGAGACTGACAATTCTAATGCTTCCAGGCATTCGTCTTTTGTTTAAGTCATGCAACTATCATCGCGAAACAGGTAGGGGGATACTCAGGCTACGAAACAGGAGGATCTGTGTACAGGAATAGCCTTTATTTACGATGATAAATTCGAGAGGCGCGAAACATCGAATGGTGGCTTGGGGGAATGGGCCATTTCCGAGTTCCAGAAACTCTCAATTTTAAAACGAGGCTAAGTGCAAAACCTTTTGTTGGGGAAATGTGTTTTATTTCCACGAGATTAAGCTCTGCAGTGGTCAAATAAGTAATTTGTAGTTTTTGTATTCATTACTAAGTGTGAAAAAATTGATAAAAGATGTTTAAAGTTACAAAAAAATGAGATTAAAAAATGATTTTCATATCAATTACCTCACACTAAGCCTAGCTTTTAAAGAGAGGCTTGCATGGGGCAACCAGAAAATGGCCTATTTGCACGCCTCAGTCCTCGCGCGTAAGATTAAAGATATTTAGAGTCACCTATACAGCAGACAGAAAACGTCACAGATTCAAGTTGAGAATTTCTCAAAATAGAAAATGGGCAGATAAAAACTCTACCAACAACTTGTTACAGACAACACTAACGTAAAGCCATGCACTAATTTTGGGCTAGAAGATATCAACAGTAATTCAGCACAAGTAAAGAGAAAACTTGGTCCCACATTCATTTTTACCGTTTGCGTAAACGTGACTCTAAATCTCTCTATTCTCATCGTGTTTTTAAAGCTTTCTGCGTAGGGACCAGGAATGAATAATGAGGGTATTTACCTTAGTTTCAGCAAATGTGACAGCTGAACCTGCATTTTGATCTCATTATCCTCCCTTTTGAATTATTTCTTTTACAGTACCCCATGAACATTCTGCAAAACCTCCAGCTGCCAAGATTGGCACATGCTGTTGAAAATAAGATACGGAAATTACTCTTCTAAAGAATATATTTTACAGATCAAATCTAAATCTGGTGTTTTCAGTTTTTCATCTTAGAGTTGTTTTGGTGTGAGGGACATAGGAGGGTGGCATGTTTTTTGAGGAAAGTGGGATATAGCGAAATTTGGTTGGTATACTTAACAATAAAATAAGTAGCAGCGGAATACTCTTAGTTTGTAGTATACCGATTTAGCCAAGCCTAAAAGCGGAGCTCTTTGAATAATGGCTCTTCTAAGCCGTTATTCACTTAGGATCAATGTACTTAACAAGAGTATGGCTCAGTAAATCACTAAACGTGCTTAGCCCTTGACCACGTAGGAATTTGTATTATCCATCATTCATAAAAGTAGCCTGGGAATGTTCTTTTGGCTTACAAGATGTAACTACCACGCAAGAGAATTGGTGATGAGTGAAAAGGATGTATACACAGCAGAGCCAGGGATGAGGCATTTCACATTGTTACATGCCACATTTTTAAAAGGTATGGCATACAAAAAGAAATTACATGAAGTAAACTAGCTACTGTGGAGAAAGAGGCAATAATTTGTCATGAAAACTTGACAAAATATATTTGAAGATAAATCTGAGTCTTGTTTACCAGCATTTTGATCGCCAACGGAAGATTAGGCCTGATAAAGATATAACTTTTTAAAAAAACTTCATTTCCTTGTTGTGTGTTATTGTGAAAAATTACACGGTAAAGCTGACACCATTCCGTGTGTTCCACATTCCAACATTTCGAGATTCGTTTACCTTCAGACTTAAGGCCGTCGAGCAGAAAAAAAGCTCTAGATTTTGGTTTGTATGTGCGCGTATATCTATTTAACTTGTTTACTTATACCATTTATTAAAGCTAACGCTCGCGTTGTAAAGGCTCAACGGGTTCCACGCTTGGAATCCATTTTATCAAGAAAGAGCGTTCGTTTATCAGCTCAAATTCGGAAACAGGTATCTATTCGTGTTTATTTCCTGTGGCGTTTCTTTGTTCATGGCGATCAATTTATCTTGAGTCACTTTGAACTTACAGCTTATAATGTTATTCTATTTTAAAAACAAATCAATAAATGTATAAAAACTTAGCAATAAAAACATAAAAAGCTAAAACCTACTAAAAAAACTATATACTAAAAACGTGAAAGGAAAAGTACAAGACACGTTCTAAAAAGCTACAAGGTTTGTTGTTTAAGTTTAAGGCGGGTTTGTTAATTAAGATCAACAGCCCAAAAAACGCAATTCTGAAGGCGGCTTTTAAAATTCAGAGTTCCTGTGTTTTTGAAAAGCGCAGTTAGAGGAAAGATGTTCTTGGATTGCTTCCAACTGGGGTTGGAAAAAGCCTGATGACTAACTTGTTGAAAGTAAGAGTTGACAGGTCATAAGCTCGTGATAATGTGAAACGCGACCTTGGAATTTGTTTGAACAACAGGTTTTCCCTCTTTTCTCTCTCGCCGCTGTGTTTGCACATGATCTAAACTTTGACTAAGCACATCTTATTTTTGCCGCACATTATTGCGTTTGAGGTACGAGAACGCAACCCCTAATTTCTGTTGGGTGTCCTGTGCAATTAATAAGCGAGGTGTTTGAGATTACATTTGAATTGACACACATTTGCCTCGCTTTGAGGCGCTTTTTTCCTTTTTGCCTCCCTTTGACGCACTCACATAGTGATTAGTGTGTTCTCGGTTCCAAACGGTCGCCGCGGTTCTGCCTTCTGATTGGGCAAAAAAACACAAAAGTTTTCTGGCACCAATCAGAAGCCAGAACGACCGCGACAGTTTGGAATGGTCTGGTAAGACATTGTACCCAGGGCTCTTCTCGCCGTTCTTTTCTTTTCTTCGTGCCATATTTTCCCGCCCGTTTAGATTTTCTCTCGCTCCCACCGGAAAAAACTTATAAACAGCCCACAGTAGCTAGTCCTCTCAAGTCACTGACATCAACACACTCGAACAAATTACTGCACTTGTTGAGACGAACCATATGATATCACTAGCCTCCAAGACTTAATGATACTCAGTTTAAATAGAGGTTTCGCTGCAAGCAATCCTTACGTTTAAAATATGCCATGATCAAATTAGTCTGTCGCAATAAACATCCACCCTTCCTCCTCAACTGTTACCTGTACGCCTAACAAACATCGAACGCACTCTCCTAAGCTCTGATTACTCCTAGTTTAAGGTAATTCATGCCATAGTAGTTGTTACTTCCTGTGGCTTATGCTGCTGCTGGTGTTTCTAGTAGCCAGAAAAAATGAGTAATGTATCGTGTCTTCATTGGTCCTTTTGAAATCACTGCTGTCAGTCAATATTTGTGGGCGTAGGCGTGGGCGGAAGAGCCACAACAATGGACTGGTTACTTGCGCTTTATCTTTTTCTTCTCTCCTCTTCTCGCGAAGCTCTAAGAATGCTCAGCACAAGAATTATGTTCACGTTGATGAATTTAATCAATACTATAGTACATCTCCCAATGCTCGTATAGAAAATGCATAGGGGCAATACCATTTACCCCTTTTTGCTTTATTTCTTTTGACTAGAATATAAAATTATTTTGATTCGAAATGAGTATTGTACTTCTGTATTAAGAAATTGTTTTGCTTAAGAATTCTATTCTATTCTCGTTTAAAAAGGGCGATAGCAGGTTTTGAAACCGCTACCTTTTGGTCCGAAGGTTACGAGTTTACGCCGTGCGCTACGAAAACAATAGAAATGACCTTACCATCATAGTCCCAGTTTTTCAAAAGTTCAGTGGATAGCGCTATCCCCCTATAAATCACTATCCTGTGGAAAGCGCAAATTGACCACTCCAGAAAAATTAACCATAACATGCCATAATGCTTCTTGTTTGTCACCCCAAAATCGGATTTTCGGTGGACTGGCAGTAACAGAGCATTAAACGACATCTTCGGTTTTGCCTCCGATTTATTATGGGGTTTAAGCAACCTGCGAGGCGGCGACAGCAAGGGGAACATCAAGAAAGAACTCGGCACGTGCACAACGCTCTTTTTTACATACAATTCTTCTTGCCATCACGTTACGCCTTTAAAACATGAAACGTCCCAGTTTGACACTAATATTGGAGGGCGAAAACACCCGACAACAAATTTCTCTTTCTCTCTCTTAACTTTGAGGCTAAATAACTCAAATAAAACTTGCCTGCCTTTGAACAGTTGAGCCAGTTGAAAATTGAAGTTGATAAATAAATAAAAAGAAAAAGGACAGTTGATGAAATTCTGAAATTCAAAAGGATGCAATTTTATCTTGTGTCATATTTTCGCTGCCTTCGCCATCACGGTTGCTCCTTATTGGCGGGAAATAATAGAAGGGTCACACACGACTAAGGAGTACAGCAAGGGACTTTAAGATCCAACGACGCGGACGACAACGAGAACGTCAAAAACACAATAGGTGTTAGCAAAACCATAATTTCGCACGTGCATCACACTTTTTTTGTACATTTCTTTCCCCTTTTTGCACGACTGCGACGTGAAAATGCCTAATTTCGTGTTTTATGGAGGACGTAAACAAGCAACGACGAAATTTTATTTCTCTTTTTGAGCTTGGCTATGGTCCCTTGAAATTCAGCTTCAGGAGGGTTCGCGTACAATTGACAAAGTTAGATGGTAGGAATAATCGCTATAAAGACTCAAAGAACGCAAATTCACTTTTTAAGCGACGTTCTTGTCGTCGTCTCGTCGTTGGATCTTAAAGTCCCTAATAACAACCGCGTGACACCAACAGTGAAATGCAAGACAAACCACTTAAGATAAAGCATTGTGAAATTTACGAACTCAGGGCCGTAGCCAGAAAAAAATAAGGACTGAGGCAATATTCATGGTTGAATTCTCCACCTAGCTATTCAGGGTCTTCGCTAAATAATGTCAAAACAAGCTTAAATTTTGTTTCTATTATTAAGAAGAACTGAAAGCATGTTATGAGAGCATCTGCTTGCCACTTTCTTTGAAAAAGCTGCATGTTGATAGAACACTGCATTTTGATAGATTCTCGATTCCTCACTCAGACCACTAAAGACAGAAGACTCGAGAAAAGGTTGCAAAACACAGGAAAACGAGGCAGTTTTCTTTGGGAAGCCAGTGCCTGGTTAGCATGAATTTTTGCCTAATTTTTCTCATCTGTAATTCAGGCCACTGACTGATTCGCGTTATCATTGACATAGTACCATGTTGCGTTAACCTTTTTTTTATTTAACTCTTTGTGAATTTATTTGCAGCTAGTGTCTTTCTTTCTCCATTAAAAAAAAACTTACTTTCGCCGAAAAAAAAAAAATGACTGAGGCAAATGCCTCGGTTTGTCTCATACTGGCTAAGGCCCTGTAGACAAGGCGCCGACACAAACATCGTTTTTGCACCATAGAACAACTTCCATTTCACTTTGCTCCGCAGCTGATTCAAGAACAGAACAGGAAAGTTTTTATCTCTCATTTGATTTCCATTTACAGTTTACAAATAGGAGTGTGTACATGTGTTCCCTATGGTAGAATTATTCGAAGCCACATTAAGTACAATAACTCAGTGAAATAAAGGAGGCGCTAAAGGAGCTCTACACCACAGCGGGGATGGATTTTCGTTAAATAACGATAAATGTTTTGACTTGCGTTAAAATCCATTAACACTGTTGGAAAGGACACTTCAGAGTTGTAATATGCAAATGAGAGTAACAAATTTCAGAGACGATTCGATTGTTGAGAAAATGATTTGTAAATACGATATTTCTAGTCCTGTAGAAGATACTTTCCATCACTTCCCTTTTTTCCATCAAATTTTTATTGAAAGCGCCCATGGTACTAAGGGCATCGGGCAACTGGAAAACAGTCTTTTGCCGTAAAATAAAGGTTACCTACATGCAGCTATGTATGTTAACGAAGTTCATAAATGTATTAACGATATATTTAGTCAAAATATCATAATTATTAAAAGTTAAAGATATTTTCGCACTTGTTTGCTTCAATTCAGTGCCACTTAATTACGACACTGAATTACGAGCTCGAAAATTAACACAAATAATTAAGGCGAATCTTGAGGAAGTTTGCGCTAATTCCATAAAGCGTCAAAATTTTTATTACCCCATTAAAAATCCTTCCATTCATGCAAAACTACAACGTTACGAAGCTACACAACTTTGACAGAATGCAATTTCAACTTTAAAAATGCAAATTGCTAAGACGATAAGTTTTTTGGGGGCGACGGGAGGACCATCGAGGTATTTAAGATGATTGGCAGCTTAGTCATGTTGTATATAAAGTTAATAGGAGAAGCACCTTAGACTTTCAATTGCAAAAAGTTATAATTACACTTGAAAATATTCACCAAAATTTTAATAAAATTACAAAAAAATCGTTGAATAGTTTCTTTATTGAAGTTTTAATCTGAGTAATATTTAGAACTTTTGTAATATATCCGCAGGTGGCATGTTTCAATTTTATTTCACAGACTCCGCATTCAAAACTTTTAGTCATTCTAACAAAATTACAAAAATTAATCTCGCCTTATATGAAACCAATGAGAAATTGTATGAATTCTACACACAGTCGTAAGTAAAAATGAAGCAATATTTCCCTGTTGTTTTTGTTTCTCGGCTACAAGGAAAAATTTAATTAATCGAAAGGGAAAGCAGACTGAACACAAAATGTTCTGGTGTTACGCTGCCACCGCAACATCCAAATTTACATTATTTATTTTAAAACCTTTTTTTTTCTTTACCATTGTTTACGAGGGAGAGGAATCTGTGCTTATAGTAAAAAAATAATAATAATAAAAATAAATAAAGACCTGAAAAATGTTGTAAATGTTTTACTTGATTAAACATTGTAAACAACTACCACCAACAGTGTGTGCCAGGACAGTACTGAGCTTAATTTAAAGATGAATGAAATCAAAAAGAGTGGTGATTCAGTGTTTTTTTCATTAAAAACTACTCAAAAAGAAATTTTTTATGCAATTTCTCACTTTTTGTTCATAGCACGCGCATAATCCAACACGAAAGAAAAATCATTGTACATTCCTTGTAATGGTTAAACCAACGCCATTAAGTGCTTGATTTTAATTTGTACGTTTTATCGCGGCTTATAAGTTGCATGAAGTATGAGCTTTTATTTTTTGTGCTTGTAGAAATAAACAAGAAATAATAATAATAATTATCATAAATTAGGAAGATGTACTTAAGAGAAATTTACTCCAAAGTGAAATTACGACGAAAATTTGAAAAAAAAGACTGCTATGACCAGTACCGTAGACATCTCTGACTGGTTTTGACGAAGTTCAAGGCCTATATATTTCATGAAAAACAAATTAATCTTTAATTTTATCAACTGTGAGCGGCAAAAATGTGGATGTGTTTTATTTTTGAGAGCATTTAAACAGATGTGCCCAAAATATTTTTCCCACATTGATAGAGTTGGTCTATTTTGCTTAGGATTTTGAACGCATTTAAACTTCTTTTTACTCTTTTATAGTTTATTAATACCTCTTCTTTTATCCACGTCTTCAAGTCCATTTAAATCATCCTTAGCCTCGAACTCTGTTACATCAAAGGTTTCATCTTTCTTTGTCACTCCTTCTTTGTCGTCAAGAGTTTCATCTTCTGCTAAAAATTATCGAAAGACGAGTGATTATCTCTCACTTAATCCGGTCCTCCAAGCGTAATGGAATAGAACATTTGTCACTACCCATGCAGGAAAACAGCAATAAGAAAATTATTGATAAGATAATAAATCCAGGTATAAACATTTTCGAAATTCAAAATACAAAAAAGGCTTCCGATCAGTTTTTACTACTGCTCAAAGTAACTGGCCCCGACCTCATTCGATGGACATCAGATCAATAAGATAAACTAAAAGAAGATTAAAATCCGATTCAGTCTGCAACAGAAAATTATGGACGTAATTCTTAAAGGGCTTCGGCCTACCATCGAGGTTCTCGACCAGTGAAGCTGCTGATGATTTGTGGAACTGTATTAATATCAACATAGAACCAAAAAGAAACAGTAACACTTTCACAGAAGCCATTTTAGTTACTCTCTCGCTAAGCCAAGTACAACTGCAAAACGACCTCTTGTGGAATGAACGTTGTTAAGTGCTCCTGCGGTGTGAAGATGTGTTGTCAGAGGTATCAAACACAAGTTCGCCTTATAAACAATCTGTTTTCACCTGCCTTTGACCACTAAACCTTTACCAACAACAGTTTGCAAAAGATTTCAATCTCCTACATCTTGAACCTGGTCGCCGGGAGATTAATATCACATCACACAATAGTCAGCCAATGTGATTTGTTTGTACTTACTCACGTCATAAATAATCTCTTTACGCCTGTTTTTAATCAAGTACTTCAATTTGAATTTAAGTGATCTGCAATTATTGCTACGAGTTTCCTGTATTTTTTTTCCATCCACTGGCATTTTTTTTTTGTTATCAGTTATTGCATTGTTCTGGAAACGCCGATTAAATTCCAGCTTACTTTATTGCCTAAGAAAAAAAGGAGCAACTGTGTTAATATCTTCTGTGGCTTATCTTAGCAAAAAGTTTTCGTGTGTTCTTATTAATCTTATCATGAATATTTTATTTTCAATTCGCAAGCAAAAATGAAACTTTTTTGAGACGGCCAGTCTCACCGCCTCAGAATTTTAAATCAATTTTAATACAAAAGAGAAATATTTGGAGTAAACTATTGTCTAGTATTGAATTGAAAATTACTTTTAACCTACTGTAGTTCCAGAATCACCGCCCCCTTTCATTAACAACCAAGCGTCAACCTGCGTCAAACGCCCTTGAACGATTCCATAAACCATTATGGGTACTTGCCACATCTGTTGCAATTCAGTTGACCTGTGGCGGTATCTGAGAACATTGATTTCTATTTATTATCACGGTAAATGGAAGCTTAAGGGAAAGGACGCGTGACTGGAGATCCTACAAACTTTGATTAAAAACGCGCAACGTTGGCTTTGCTCATTACAATTTTGACATTTCCTTTTTCTTTAAAAAAAAAAGAGATAAAACGAGAACTGTTGTTGTTTATGTTCATTTCTGCCATTTCTACAATCCAGTTGCAGAGAAAACAAAGCACGGAGACTGTGAAATTATTAATTAATTATCTAAAAGTGAATTGAAAATATTTGGCAAAACAGTTTGCTCCCACGATATAAACAACTATACAGGCGAGCACAGCAAGAAAACCAGAAATTAATCGACACAGGACCCTCAAACCAAAAACAAGGGATTTCCTATGTGAACCAGCAAATGCCCCAGCAAGACTGAATTAATCACCAGCATTTTGATAATACTCAATTTGGCATTACTGTGGGCCGGGAGAGTGGGGGATAGTAAGCTTCATTTGCAATGAACAATTTAGAACAGTCGAGTTTATACAATACAGTCAAAATATCATTAATATTTTTCTTTAATTTGAAACTAAATAAATGACGCCTTGAGCTTTAATTTGACGAACTGACCGGAGGTTAGCGATGATAAACTAGCTACTTTCAAAAATAATATACAAATTCAATCCTTGACTGTTTAAAATTTAAAATTTAATTCTTCAAGATCAGACATATCCAATTAAACCATTGAAAGCACCCTGCACTTTCTTCACCTTTTTCTTTCTTTTGTCCAGACTGATTTGATGTTCGAGAAGCCGCAATAATAGTTCTTTGATCAATTCTGCCAGTGGAGGTTAATAAGGTAAAGTGATATTAAACGGATAACCATTTCTAAGACAATGTTTTGAATTAAATTATTTTCAAGAGTCGGAAAAATACTCTACCTACCCTTGCAGGCATCAGTGACTACCAAAAAGACAATTTTTGATTGGTTGAATGCCAAAAAATAAATATTTTTTGAAGATCAAGACATAAATATGTCGCTGCATGCATCCTTAGAGACGCCCTTTATTCCTGATTTACTTCTCTTAGACTCCTTTAATTTTCTCTACTGATTGTTGGATGATATTTCTGTGGCTTTGGAATACATAAAGTTTGGAAATCCTAGGAAATTTCTTTTAGTATAATTATTGATAATATTGTTTCCTTTGCAAATTAAGCTTTTAAAAGTGAACTGTATGACCATTAAATTGAGAGGTAAAAAGGAATAATAAAGAAAACACTAACTGAAAGGTATGAAAACATAATTATAAGTATGTTATCATGCAGGCTTGGAAAGTTCTACTTCATCTGGGAGACCAGTGACTCTAACAGACAAGGCTCTCGCCTCATGACTGAAATATAGAATTCACTGGCATGAAAATGCTTCCCTGCAGGATAAATGTGGCGTCAATTTGCTTGTCGCGTTAATTTGAAAATTTTTATTAACAGTGTGTATTTTCTCCAGTTTGTCCTATTGCTCCTATCCTGATTTGCTGAATCAAAGAATCCGTCCCTAGTTCACTAGCAATATTGTAGTATAGAAAGTAGAGTATCTTCAACTTCACTGTAGCCTCCCCAGATTTCGAAGCCAACGAATTTCATCTAATCTATCAGTCTGCTTTAATGACAATAATAATTACAACAGCGTCATTTCTTGATTGGTCAGTGCCCTAGCTCTAGCAATAAAATATGTTGCCAAAAAGCCTAAGATAATAAATAATGAAAAAAAGCTATCAGCTGTAGGCTTGCTTTTGGCTTTAGAAAACAGCCAACATTTTGCGACGAATGAACCACTGGTTTTCCCGCGAAATGACGTCTCAGGAACCGCAGAAGAGATTCGATACTGATGTGCTTCTGATTGGTTGAAAAATTGCTTCGACCAATCAGGAGTACTACCCAGATCTGGGTAGTGACGCGTCATCAGTATGGAATTGAATGATTCACAAAGTACTTTCCTTATATTATATGCATCTTTTCCCTCCATTAGCTGCTGTTTCTCTTCTGGGATAAAAATCCCTGCTTGTTAGCTTGAGGCTTCATGTTTGTGTTGTTGTGTTCATTCACGAAAAAGAAAACTGGCAGTGTTTTTCCCTCCTTCTGTCGCTCCACTTTCCACCATGTTTAGATCACTGCCGTAACGTATCGCGAGCGGGGTACAATTGCTAAAACCTATCACGCTCGGAATAAATTTGATTTTAGTCAAGGCCATTTGACCAAGAATCAACCAATGGCAGTCCCTGTTCTAGTTGAGTGAAAGTCTAGGAATATATACAAAACTATTAATTACGGTAACCACGTTTGAAGTCAGAATTAATATGACATGTTCAGTTGTACGTGTCTATGAAACTTGAGTTTTTGTTTCTCTCTCAACTAAATCTTTAAAAGTCGAAGATAAAGATGAAGAACTTTCGGGCGTTTTTGAAATTGAGCTTCTAGCCACTCAAACCAATAGCAATAGCGATGAAGATGTTTCGTAAATTAGAGCCTGAGCCAACAAAAATTCTGGCAAAAGAAACTGACATTTAGCTGCAAAGAGACCCCGAATTGGTCCGTGTCATTAATAATATCCAATTTGAAACAGTCCTCCGTTTTTAACGTTTGTTTATCCTTTTGAAAACAAGTCAATTAGATCGGCCATAGCGAAAAAGTATGCAGCTACGTTATGAACGAACAATCCGAGGCGGGAAAATTTCTCTTGCGATAACAACTGACGATATTAAATTACACAAAAAGGCATAAATATATTATTTACAAAACAACTACTGAAGTCATTGAGAAACCTTAATGACCAGAACATGTTATACTTAATTCTTTAATTCATTGTTCGCAATTGAATATAACGTAGAATGACAGTTGTTTTTGCTAAACAACGTACGCGTTTCCTGGATTTCGCCGAGCAAAACATAAAAATCGTTCCAACGCACGAACCCAAACCATACTCCACGCTTTCTTGGGAACTTTAGGTGGACTTGTAAACTTTTTTACCTTCGTTTGAACGTTAGCGAATAAATAAGCAAACGTTCACTATTAGTTTTAGAAAAAGAATTTTTCTTTCAAACTAGACGATTGTGGCGTGTTTGTAACCAACCAACGGAAGAGTTTACTTTTCTGTGCGTCGCGGTACGAGAATTTTGCAGTTAATAAAAAAAGCGTTTTTGTTAGCTAAAATATAAGGTGTAAAGGAATAGGTTCATGCTCTTATCTGTGCGTATATCGAGTTATGGATGCACTTGGAAAGTTTGTAGAGCACTCAAGAAGCCAGACTTGCTCCACGATTACAACTCGTACATGTACGCCTTTCTCATGCTCTCCAAACTTCCCACGTGCATCCATAACTCGATATACGCACGCTAGGCACGAACCAATTCTTAATTAGACGCGTCAATCAAGTACATTGTACTGAATAGCATAAAAATGCAATGGATAACATCAGACAAAAACCTGCCCACGCAGAGTGCAAAGTGTCTGTCTGCGGGAGTGTATAGCTGATATGATTAAGGTTGCTTTGGACATTGGAAATTGGCAATTGCGCATTTGGGCATACGGAACAATGCAATGATTTGCCTGTTTGACCACCAAACAATAGCTTGCTTAAAAGTGAACAATTCCCAATGCAAGCAACTTTCATTGAATCAGTTTCATAGAAGTCCATCATGAGCGATGAAGACGTCAGTGACACCGAAGGAGAGAACACAGCCAAAAGTTTGGCGCACAGATATAACCGCACTGAGGGCATGCGACAGCAGTACTTGGGTCAAGTCTCCTTTCTTTGTTGACCTGTCATTTCTGGTCGAGGTCCTGCAGCCACTTTTTTCAAATCGGTTTGTGGCGAGGGTTTCCCAACCAAGAGTGGGAATAAGCAGGTTGAGTATGATCGTCCGGGTGAACGTAGTCCAGAATAGGACTGTTGTTGACTGTGACTTCTGGTTTCGAAAACGCACCATTGACACCAATGGCCAATACCATCAAGGCTAAGCTGACAGACGACCCATAATATCGCGACTTAATTGACCAATCAGGTCAATAACTAGAGTTAAATAACATCAACTGACGTGATCAACTCAATTTCAATCGTAGCGAACATGAAGATGAAAAGAGTTGGAGCCAATAAACAGCCTTGTTTGACGCCATTGGAGACTGGAAAGGGGT